AGATAGATAGATAGATAGATAGATAGATAGATATTTTGCAAAAATAATAAAAGGATTATCTATTTTATACTTTTGATGAATTTCAAAATTATAATTTAGTATAGTAGAAAATAATGTACGAAAAGAGGGGGATAAAGATAATTTTAGGATATTTATACTTTGAATTAATTAAAAAAAATTAAAGATAAATAAATAACACTCAAAATATTATTGATAAATTTAGACAATTGAAGAATTTTGAACGGTATAACATAAGTTTAAAAAAATACAAATATTCTCAGAATAAGAAAACTTATATCTATGCGATATTAGAATTATCAAAATATTAAGCCAATTGACAAGTTAATAAAAAGTTAAAATAGTAAATGGATAGTATTAAGTACTTACTAATTTAATAAAGAATAAAAAAGGAACAAATAATTTATTTGATTATTATATGATTTGTTTTTGCACATCGTATTAAAAGTTTAAATAACAACTAATAATATTAAAATAATATAATATATCAGATTATAATTTTATAAAATTAATATTTTGCCAAATTATCGGGTTCCAACATTAGTTTGAAGAAGAAAAAAGAAAAAGTAAGATAATTGTATAACTAGGCCTACTTTTAGAGAACTCGTGAAGAAATGTATTAAGACACGTTTGCTTATTTGTGGAATTGACATTGACGTAACAAAACCCATTATATAAACGAGGCTTAGATTCACTTCAATTGGATCCCTTTGATTATTTCATAGTAGTAGAACTTTTAGGAAATTGAATTCAATTGGATCGATCTGCTGAAGAGGAGCAGTAGCAGAAGGGGAAAAAAATGAAACAAATGGATATAGAGTCAGTGAAGAAATTCTTGGAGAAAGAAGGTGGGAACTATGAATCCACAGTAGATTCCATGCCTTCAAGATTCCTTGAAGCTTTTGTCTCACATGGCATAAAAGTTGACCTCGTTGAACCAGGCCGTATTCTCTACTCTTTCCAAGTCCCATCTCGTCTAGTGGTAATTCATCTTTTGTTTTGTATTACCAACCATTTCTTTTGTTGTTGTTGTTGTTTAATTAATTGGGATTGCCAGAATGCGGGTAATTTTCTACATGGTGGAGCTACGGCGGCTCTGGTGGATATTTTTGGTTCGGCTGTTATTCATACAGTAGGTGCACCCTTTACTGGTGTCTCCGTTGAGATCAACGTTTCCTACTTGGATGCTGCTTTTGTTGGGGTAAGTTGTCCTCTTTCTTGTTTTTCAGATTGAAATTTGGTAGATTTTTTGTAGAAATACTGAATTATTGAGTACTGGAATGAGGATTTATCTAGCAGACCCCCAGCTAGTTTGGGATTGCATATTTGTGGTTATAGTAAAATTGGGTTGTGAATTTGGCTCTCTTTTTTTCTTTTCTAAATGACGGTGGTGTCTAGGCCGGCTACTACCCATCAACATAGGTATCGGGTAACTCTGCCCACCAAAGCTTAGGCAGATGAGAAGAAATTACCTAGTGCCTCCATTGGGATCATAGTTCTCTTCCCACTTCATTGATCCCTAGCTCACACCTGGGTACAGCTCTTTTATTCCTTTTGTTCATGTTTTTGTGGTACATTTATTGATTTGCTTTGCGATTAGGTTCGATGTTATACTTCATCTTTACCTTAGAAATGTACTTGGATGTTGGAAGTTATTAGCTTTTCGCATAATAATAGGTCTTCCTAAACGCTCCCCCGGTCAAGCATTCCGCTCGTATGCTGTGAGGAATTTAGTAGAGTGGAAAGAGAAGAAAAGCTAACTACTAAATGAGAGAGCTTTACAGGAAAATGAGTAGGATTTCGCACCAAATAAGAGGCTCTCAAGAAATCATAAGAAGGATAAACTTTTAGACAGCATTATAGTGTTGATATGATGGATTTATGGCCCTTATTTCATGGTGGAGGTCTTTGGTAAGCCATGCAGTTTTATTTGCATAGCTTCTTGAACATTCATTAAGTATAGTTAGCAGAATGTTACATCGCTATGAGGGGGAACCTAGTTAACCTGAATTCTGTATGAAGGCCAGTTTAGAGGACACTTTTAAGAAGTGTTCTGGTTTTAGCAATGCCACAAACTTTATTTCATAAATTCTACTCTGGGAAGTCAGAGGAACATAGGCCTTCTTAAGTATGCAGGTAATCATGGAAATGCCTCTAGCAATGCAATATTGGGATACACGTACATGGTTTTACTTCTACAGGATAAACATGAACAGCCTTGATTCTGGAATTTAAGATCCAACGAAGAAAAAAAAAAGTTGGTGCAGTAGCATGGACTTTAGCAATAGTCAGTTTAACAATTCGACTGTTTTGATTTAGAAGCTTCAGCTTTAATCTTCTTGTAGAATGTTAATGCTATCTTCAAGTGAAGAACCTTATGGTGGTAAAGAATAAGGAATTAGAATAAAATGCCACTTTGTTCGCACTTAGACAATATAGATAAATCCTGTAATACCAGGCATTTAATTTACAATTTGAGGAAGTAATAGTCTAGCAGCTTAAAGCATATGTTGTAATTTAGTGCTATTAATTGCAACATAAATACATGTTAGAAAAACTTATCATTTGTTATGGGTAGTCAAAATACTTTGTGGAAATAGGAGGTACTTTGGTAATTGTAGCAGCAAAAAGTTGCACCAAGCAAAGGACTTTCACCAGCTAAAACTTTGTTTCTTGTAATTTTAAAGTTAAATCGTTCTCCCAACTGCATCTAGCAAGAAAGATAGCGGAAACAGAAGAGCAGTTTTGCGCCTAGTTTAGCATGCAGATATCTACACCTGCATCTTTAGACTTTCTTGTTACCAAATGTTATCACCTTCTTCAGTCATGTATCAGCTCAGTGTTTCTCAAATCTTGAAGCGTGCACCGTGTCCAACATGAGATTCTACTGTTATCTAATTTGTTTCCTCTTTTTATTGGCAAAAATTTAACTAGAAGTGAAGCGTATTAATGTGCTTGCTGATTCTCATCCTTGTATTTTTTTTCTTTTAAATGTTGATTGGTTAAAGACCTGCTAATTTTTGTTTGTTTTACTTGCTAAAAATTCTAATATAACTTGTTATAGCCAAATTTAGTAGTAGTTGTTGATATGTTTTTTCACATATATTATTCCGTTCCATTTTAAGAGCTGTACTTTCTGTATCGTGTGAGTCAATATTGGCTAATTGAAAAATGCAATATCCTTGTCCTCATTCAACTGTTGTCTTATCTTGCATAATCAGGAGGAAATCGAAGTTGAAGCCAAAGTATTACGTGTTGGGAAGACAATTGGTGTTGTCAGTGTTGAGTTGAGGAAGAAAGAGACGGGGAAGATAGTTGCACGAGGTCGTCATACCAAGTATTTGGCTGTCAATAGTAAGCTTTGAGCTACTACATATACATTTGCTGGGAATCCTGTTGGCTGAGACCAACGAAATCCTTTCCGAGGAAATTTTACCATATAACAAGTATTTTTAGCATGTACAATATTACTCAACTGAACAATTAAGTACAGGCTTACGTACGTGCATGCTCATTTTATGTAGTTAATTACAAATCAACAATGTCTCCTGTACTGCAATATGATATTCTCCTCTCCTTCATAATAAGAGCGTGTTCTTGCACTAAAGTCAGTTGATGCGCCATAAAAAGTGCAAATGGTTGATACATTCAGATGCTAACACAGATTATATACTGCAACATACATGGTGATGGATAAGATGGTTGATACTTGATACTGTTCTCTTTTCTCAGGGATGAATTTCGTTAAAAGTACTATAGTCGAATGGGGTAACCCGGTGCACAAAGCATCACTTTACCCTCAACCTACCTGATGCAAGCATAAGTGGCTGATTCCCATAGCTCGAACCCGTGACCTATAATCACACAGAGACAAATTTATCATTGCTCCAAGAATCCTTGTCCAGTACTATAATCGAATAGGTTCACAGTTTTCCGGATAGCCGCCCAATTAAACTTTGCATAATCGAAAAATTAGAAACAGAACAAAGGCTAAGATGTGGAAGAAAATTGCTCTTTGTTACTGGTGTCAAAGTCTAAAGTTCTAACCTTGGGGACAAATAATGGTAAAAAAACACCAGCCATCAATAAAAGCAGGGGAAGGGATCAAGTTTAATACAAGGAAACCTAACACTTGTAGTAGTAACTAAATGTCTATAGTTGGACCTTCATGTCAACAAGAAATTAGAAAGATCACTCGGAACTCTGTTCGGATTAATTGGTGGTTCATAAGATTTCTTCACTCTGTACGAGTCCTAGTGCTTCTCCTAAATTCAAATTGTTTCTTATGGTCCTCCTTCCAACGGCTCCACCTGTGCCTTTCCTCATCATTGCAGAAAATTCCTTATAGTCTATCTGTCCATCCTGCAAATTGAAAGTTCTTTTTTAGTGCGGAAAACACAAGAACGGACATTAAGAATCAACATTAGTGCACTAGAGTCAACAGAAAAACAAAGCACAAGTTGCACACAAATGGAATTAGTATCGGGAAGTTGATAAGTGAACTGAAGTCAGTGTGCTGACAGGAACTCGAACAAATAACTAAACCTTCACAAGAGAGTGAGAAAATTACAGCTCTATTTAGCTGCACAACATTAACCAACTTAAAAAGCAATTGCCCAGATTGATACAAGCAGATTCTTATGTTACTATACACAGTTTAAATCAGTAAACTCGTCTTCATCACTGGTAAATGCAGTACGAAATGAGATTCGCTGAATGGTTTCTTTCAAAATCATAGAATAGCTCAGAGCAGAAATAAAACATCAGCATATTTCACGATTTACAGCCTTCAATTATATGATGCATCTAGTAGAATGGGGGCTGGGGAGATCGGGGTAGAGGAACAGTCACTGCCATTCACAACTCAGAAGGCATGCATGGAGATTCTGTCTGTCTGAGGTTCGAGAATTAAGAGCTGCTATAATGTTTTTGGCTTAAAGTGTGCTTGATATTTTGTGCATATCTGGAGAGCTAGAGCTCAGTAAGCAAATAACAGGAAATTCTAATCTAAATGGAAGCTAGTTGACAGTGTTTGATTAGATAAGTTAATCCTTCCTAAGATGCTAGGGGTCGTCTATTGAAATGCTTGTACATGGAAGTTAAGGTAATTGTCATGAAATCCTTCGTAAGCACTGCCTAACATGATGAAGACGGAACAGGAGTAGGTCATGAATGGGATTTTAGTTCTTATGTTTGAACAGATGGCTTTTTGAGAGAAACAATATGGCAGTCAAAGGAAAAAACTTCTACTTCCTTTTTGCGGTGGGAGGGTGTCTGTAATAGTACTTGGCATCACTTACTTTTGTCCATTGACAATCTTTTTCAGCATATTTTGCACAAATTATGTTCCTTCTTTTAGTTAGCTAAAAAGTGAGAAAAAGGAAAAAGCAACTCCTCAAGTAGACTAACTTATGACGGGAACAATTGAGCGTACAACTAAAAACTTAAGGCAATTAATGAAGTGAATCAAGACCTTTATAAACTCATACGGATGTCCATGTTTGGCCACTATGTAACTCAACACCCATCCGAGTGCATCGGAGGTTCTCACGCAGACTTCATTGTGTATTTATGGGTATCCAAATGAGCTTGCTAAAGTTGGCTCTAATATCACACGAAAGATTATGAGTAGGGGTGACAAAATGGTTAAAAGAAAACAGTTAACCACCCATATTATCCATCAAATAATGGGTTGGATACTAAACTTTTTAAAAACAGATAAGAACCATATTATCCATTTAGAAAATGGATAACCAATAGATAACCCATGGATAACTAATGGGTTTAACTTTTACATTTGTAAAACCTCAAATTGGGGGTTCCTCAAGTTTGGGAGACTAGGAATTCTCCCAAAAATGATCATATTCATGAAGCCATGGATAATATGGGTAACTATATTATCCGCCGGTTAACCCGTTTTTTATCTATTAAATATGGGTCGGGTCGGATAATTTATCCGTTTTTTCATTACCCGTTTGACCCATCCCATATCCGACTCGACCTGCCCGTTTGCCACCTCTAATTATGAGCATCCAACCCTTAAGGCAATGGGTAGAGCGGCGCACGATCCTTATAAACCCCTTTGGATGTCATTTAATACGTTAGTGGACATTATGTAACTCAATTCACCTTTACTCCATACATATGTGCATGACATAAAAACAAAAGAGAACAGAACTTACATTATCTTGATCAATATCTTTAATAATTTCATCAAGATTGAGCTCGCTAAGACCAAATTCTTTGCAGGCTTGCTGAAGTTCTTCGATAGTTATGTATCCACTA